ACTGGGCAGAGGGGATGGGGTGGGAGTGGTAAAAGCCCTTCTGGCCTCACCCTGCCGTGGTGCGGGGTGGGGAGGGAGATTTGCCTAGGGGGGGCTCTTGGGGGCTGGGACGGGAGGGCTGGGGAAACACCTCTCATCAGCTCAGGCAACTCCTCTAATGTCCTGTTATGTGTGTTTCTATTTGTCCCTTTCTGCAGGTGGTGACGGCCATCAATTCCGAGCTGCTTCACAGGACTGTCCACCTCGGAGACCTGGATACCATTGTGGCTGGATTTGCGGGGCTAGACTTTCCGAACTGCAGTGGAGCACTCAATGGGACTCACATCCCGATCTGCGCACCGCCCCATCGAGCAGCCCAGTATGTTAAGAGAAAGGGCTACTTTTCCATGGTGCTGCAGGCCCTGGTCGACCACCGGGGACAATTCACTGACATTTGTGTTGGGTGGTCAGGCCGGCACACAATGCCCGCATCTTCCGGAACTCATACATGTACTGCAGGCTGGGACGTTCTTTCCGGAGCAAAACTTTTCAGTCGGTGATAGGCATCTGCACATGTGCATCGTGGCCGATGTCGCGTACCCCCTAATGCCCTGGCTCAGGAAGCCATTCTGTGGACACCTGGATGCGAGCAGGGAACTGTTTAACTCCCACCTGAATCGGGCTCGCTTCCAGGTAGAGTGCGTCTTTGGCCATCTGAAGGGCCAGTTTAGATGCCTGCTCACTTGGCTGGACATGGGGGAATGCAACATCTCCAAAGTGGTTGCTGCCTGTTGTGTGCTGCACAACCAGGTGGAGAGGAAAGGGGAGGCCTTCCTCCCAGGGTGCGGGACACGGGCTGATGTGGAGGAAAAGCATTTTGAGCATCCCCGGACAGCTGCCTTCCGCCAAGCCCACCAGTTGGGATTGTGCATTCAGGAAGCCCTGACGGAGAGATTCTCCCAAGGAGCCCAATGAGTTTCCCCAGGGCCTTCCAAATGTGGGTGTGTCCCATGCCCCCAGTGCCTTCCCCCCCAGAACCCAACCCTGCCCCATGTTGTACACATTCACACAGATAAGAGACAGGTGTGCTTGACAAAATGCTTACAGTTCATTGCACTGTTGTATGTTACAAAACCTATATAACTGTTTTGTAAAGAAAAATAAACTTTTTGTTAACAAAGCAAAGTGCTTCTGGATGTAAACCTGGAAAGGGGGAAGGGGGATGTAAACCTGGAAGGGGGAAGAGAGGCTCGGGGCTGAGGGTGCTGCCTGGATGAGGAGCTCCTGCCACCTCGGGTGAGCCTGTTCGGAGATGGCCGTGCATGTGGACTGGGACAGTAGGGGGCTCCCATGCCCCCAGTGCCTTCCCCCCCAGAACCCAACCCTGCCCCATGTTGTACACATTCACACAGATAAGAGACAGGTGTGCTTGACAAAATGCTTACAGTTCATTGCACTGTTGTATGTTACAAAACCTATATAACTGTTTTGTAAAGAAAAATAAACTTTTTGTTAACAAAGCAAAGTGCTTCTCTTACTGACTTTCACAGGTGGGAAGGGGGATGTAAACCTGGAAGGGGGAAGAGAGGCTCGGGGCTGAGGGTGCTGCCTGGATGAGGAGCTCCTGCCACCTCGGGTGAGCCTGTTCGGAGATGGCCGTGCATGTGGACTGGGACAGTAGGGGGCTAGGCAGGAGGTAGGGCCACATGTGGGTCTGGGATGGCAGGGAGTGAAGGGGGGACAGGAGGTGGGGGGGAGGCAGGTTGATCAGGAGGAGCAGGAACATGCACAGGACCGAGGAAGGCCATCACCTCCCAGATACCAGCGCAAATTGCAGTGCGCTGCTGGACAAACTCGTCCAGCAAGCGACTGTGCCATTCTGCCTCTGCCTGCATCCTCTGTGTGATTCTCTCCTGCATTCCTTGCAGGACCGAGATGTGCTGTCGCGTCAGGTCCAAGTATGTGTGCCA